CCCTGCGTCTGGGTGATTAATTCGAGGCTAAAACCTCTGGGTAAGTCTCATGGTCCCGCCTTTTCTACATTGATCACGTTTATGGTAAAAACAGCCCACTAGCTCCCATCGCCGCCACGTCTATTCTGTTTCTATCTCTAATACCAAGTCCATGACTTCCCATGCCCTAGTCTCTTGTGTTCCAACCCACAAATGTTGTGGTACAGCTTGTTTTGTTTTGGTTAAATGTTGAATCACGTTTGTGGGTTAACAGACAATAGACTAGGTATTATAGATAAAAAGAGGATAGAAACAGTGGAAGCTAAAGCTGGTTGGCCAACAATGTCATAGATTATTTTAATGTTTTAGACGTAGAATCTGTTATAAAGATTGACTGTATTTATCGCAGGGTACGCCACCAGGACACCTAAGTACTTAGAAATAAGTATCCAAAAAAGGGCAACTTTCATTATATTACCATGGACTATCTAGCAAGCAAGACGAAATGCACTTATATAATGTCAGATAGGAACCTGACATTTACGTATTAGATTTCATAAGATTATAGATATAATATAATTTAGGGCAATATATAAGCATATGTGAATGCATCCTTTGATGTTAAAAGAATATACCCGCAATTTAAACTTTTTAGAACGGAGAAGAGCATCTCTTTTCGCCAAGTCATGCCCTGAAAGACCTTCAGCCGCCTTTGAACCAGGCCGAATCACTGTTTTAAGAGAATAAAAGCACAACTTAGCACCATTAAGCAAGGTATGTATATAGAATTTAAAATTACTGGACTGTGGGAAGAATTAAAAAATGTTGCAATGCAGGTTAAATTGCACGGGATATATAGGAAGTAAGACATTCGAAGGATGTCTACAAGTAGTGAATAGAGGATTTAAATATTATGAAGATTGACTGGCCATATCTAGAGACAAGTGGTTTTATTAGCAAAATCAAACCTACTTCCTAAGGAAGCCAGATGAAGATTGCGACCAGATAAGTTAATATCTTCCAATGGGGCACCAGGAACACATGGGGCTTCCGATTCAAAAATTTGCTCTGATGTAACTTCTTTAGATGAAGATGTTTGGCGAGCAGCCTCTCGACTTATTGCTAACCTCAGATCAAGTGTTCTGCCACGGAGTGTAAACTTTTGGAAGTTCTGTGTTAAATCGAAAAAGATAATACGTTATGACACAGATTAAAAGCCATATCAGTTAAATAAAAAGAAAAAAAGATGCACATGATTAACGTGAGATTTGCAAATATTTATATTAAAATACTGCTTAAAATTAAATTAGAAAGAAGTTATTGCGAATGCAGTATACCTCGCCCTTAGCACTATCAAGAAGAACATTGGCACAGTCTTCCTTTTTAACAAATTTGACAAATCCGGAACCCTTTGAATGCTGCGTACCATGATCTTTAACAACTCTAGCAAATAATATTTCGCCAAAATTCGTAAAAAAAGATTCCAGTTCAGAATCATCTACATCAAACGAAAGGTTTCTAAAGTGAAATGAATTAAGATAATACCGAATAAAAATCGTTCTTCCTTCTTCCACGTCACTTGGTATCTTTTTTACAGCATGCCCATCTTGAGAAAGTTTACTTTTACTCCTTAACCTGGAAGAGGCGCCAGAATCGCAAGAACTCATGGCAAGAGAATCAAAGGGAGAAGGAAGGTTTGGCTTAATTAAACAACGTAGTATATTTGCTAGCATTTTAAACGTTATTTAATGTATTTTAATACATATATTTCTATTAGCGCACCTATACTTTATATTAGTAATTTTTAAACAATAGATGCAAGCAATATTTTACTGCGATGTTCTTTTTGATACGTCATAATTTATACAAACATTAAAATTGGCTAGATAAAATTATATACCGATATGATTAAATCATTCTAAGCTATTTTGTATGGTACTGCCTATCATATTCCGATATATTAGGTAATATGAATTATCCTTGCTTCACAGCCACTGCTAATAATGTTTATAATTCCTAGTATGATAGGGCATTGCTATTAAATGTTCTATTATGATGACTTTCATTCAATATTGAAGTACATTATGAAGAGACTAGTAGGTCAAGCTCACCAGAAGACGCTGGCTGATTTGCGTTGTACTGCATTCGTTTGGCATTAATATGACATTCAGTATGGTGAAGTCCACGAACACAGTTTCGTTGGAAGATGACCTGTGTTTTAATTCTTCAAGCGATGAACATCGTAGAACTGGGACTTATTCTTGAAAAAATCCTCACGTAGCACCAAGTCAAGAAGACCGACAGGCTTTTTTTCTATATGGTATATATACTCATTGCGATAAAATTATTGAGATATAGATGGATATAGAAGTGTTTTGTTAATTCACGTGTGCTCTATCATGTCAGATCGTGTATGCATGTTTACGCTTTTGTGCTAAACTGGCCATAACTGAAAGTAATTTGGAAGAAGCTTAACGTCAGGCCATGGTCATCATGGCTTTTTGACCAAAGAGAGAAAAGACGACTGAATTTGCGTTGGTCTGTAATTAGCCATTATTAAATTGATGAGATTTAATCCTTTAAGCGTGAGAGTTGTGGTAAAACCACCGGTTCGAGTCTGTCACCTATAGAAGCATGGCTGGGATTGTGTAGTCCTGCACGTGTTTTGGTTATTGAGCTTGATATGTCTGTTAATTGAGTATGCATTTTGTTAGAACCATCATTCAGCTGACACGTCTGACATGGAC